CCTTTTGCCTGAGAGTGCAGCTGAGACCGAGTACCCTGACCAGGTGCCAACCAAGTTAACCAAGGCAACTGAGGATGGTAGCGGGGTTGTCGTATTAGGGGTCGAGGCCAAGTCCTGCAAAGAGCACGTGAATGAAACCATGCTGCGCGCGTGGCACTCTCATGCGTAGTTATAAGGAGGGATAATGGGCAAATTGAAGAAGTTGGGATGTAGAAGCCTGGACACGTCTTCCCAAATACAAACAAATCCGCAGTGGGACCCTTGCAAAGATTGCCCTCACATTGTTTGGAACCATCCCTGCAGACCCAAGTATCATACCCTCAAGCAGTCCTAGTCGTGCAATCAACTCCCAGAACGGAGGCTAGGAGTCTTCTGCGAACAAATCCCAAGACACGGCGTCTTCAGGCGCTTCCTTACAATCAGACGTAGCTTGGCGACCTCCACCAGTAGCTAATCATGGCCCCGGGTATCCTGACCAGCCAAGAACGTGCCGAAATTCGTAGGGTTCATCACGACTTGGGTCATCCTGATAATCAAAAGGTCGTGAAGTACTCCCAACAAGGAGGGGCTAGTCCTGAGGTACTTGCGGGAGCTCGTGACTATCAGTGTGATGCATGTGTTGAATCTAGAAAGGGATATTTGGCTGCCCGACCTTCAACCATACACGTTTAACGCCAAGGTAGGAATGGATTGGGTAAGTTGGCGTAACGCAAAATGGCACCCGCTCCATTTTGTTCACTTTATTGACGAAGGCACTCTGTTTCATTTAGGAGCGGTCATTGAACAGTTTGAAACCGTATGGGTAAGTTGGGCCGGCGTACCCCAAGAAGTATATGTAGACCCTGGCAGTAAATTTGTATCAGAAGATTGGGCAACAAAAATGCAAAAAATTGGAGCCAAGGTTCACATGTCTGCCAGGGACTCTCACTGGCAACTAGGAAGGGCGGAGATTCATGGGGCAACCATTAAACAAATGTTGACCAGGATGGACTGAAAGTTCCATGGCTGTGGGGCTTATGGTTACTCACCTCAGCAAGCAGTTCTAGGAGTGGCATGTAGACTCCCTGGTTCGCTACTGTCGGTGCAGCGACTCGTGAGCTTGCGGAAAGTGACACCCCAGAAGGCCAACGTTTCCTGCAAACACTTGAGCTGAGAGAGAGAGAGAGAGAGAGAGAGCTCGCCGAGCGTGTTTGCACGTGGACAACTCCTCTTCCTTCCGGAGAGCGCTGCTGCGAAGAACCAGACCGACTCGGGTGAGTTGGGAGGTCGGCGACTACGTCTTGTACTGGCGCAGCAAGGGGAGCAACCTTCGTTGAGAGCATGGCCGATGGCATGGCCCTGCCCAAGTCATTTCTGTTGAAAAAGATCGAGTGGTTTGGTTGAGTCATGGCAACCGTCTCATCCGAGCCAGTCCGGAGCAGATACGGGCAGAATCATTGCGTGAGTGGAAGGTGCTGCAGAAAGATGACCGTGGGCAGCCACTTGATATGGCCAAGCCGCTGCAAGAACGCTTCAAAGGATCCTCCGAGTTTCTTGACTTGGAACCCGAAGAAAGACCAGAGACACAAGAAGCAAAGCTAGATGTAATCCCATTAGGTGAGCATGAGCGAGAGGTCACTCCGGAATCCAAGTCTCCAGTAATTGGGCCCGCAGAGACACCTGGCAATCCTGACGGCGAGCAGGATACTGAAATGCGTTCCCCTTCCGAAGTCCCACCTCAAGAAGAGGCGCCGGAAGTTCCCAACCTCGACTGGACGCAGGTTCCCATTCCAGGCGATTCAGCATCTGAAGAGTTAGAGGAGTGGTTTGGGGATAATCCTAGGGAGGAAGAGGCTATGACCTGTAGGGTAGATAGTTGTTGGGAGGTTGATGTGACTCCAGCCGATTGGTGGGAGCTTCCGGAGCAGCTTGACGAGGATATGATTTTTCTTGCCAGTGAAAGTCGGAAGAAGCGAGTTGAGGTGAAGCTTCGCGACATGACTGTGAAAGATCAGCGTAGGTTTGCTGCAGCCAAACACAAAGAAGTCAGCGCTTGGATTGCTCACAAGACTGTCAAACGGGTGGCTCAAGGGAAAATCCCTGAGAGAAACATCATGCGGTGCAGGTGGATTTACACCTGGAAGGCAGCTGACGCCACATCAGAAGCTTCCCCTGATAGGAAGAAGGCCAAGGCTCGGTTAGTAGTTTTGGGATTCGAGGATCTCCATATAAATATAGATACCGTCAAGAATGATGCTCCAACCCTAAACAAAGATGGACGTCAACTGTTGCTCCAGAAAATTTGCAGAAACCGGTGGAAGCTGTGCAGTTTCAACATCAGCGCTGCGTTTCTCCATGGAAGGGAGATGGGCGTCTGCTTGGAATTCATGCTCCAGAAGAACTCAAGGAAGCCCTTCAAACGCAAGATGGGGAGCAATGTGAACTAGTAGGTGGGGCCTATGGTAGCGTAGATGCTCCATATTTATGGTGCCAAGAGTTGCGCAAAGTTCTTGTGGAGCTAGGATTCGTGCAGTGTCCGCTCGACCCCTGTGTCTTTTCCTTAATCAGTGCCACAGATAAGGGTGGTCCTAGATGCCATGGGGTTCTCGGTATTCACGTCGATGATGGAATCTGTGGCGGAGACTCTCATTTTCATGGCGTTCTCAAACAGTTAAGGGATCGTTTCAGCTTTGGGTCTTTTGAAGAGGGAAGTTTTACGTTTACGGGGATACGGTTGCGTCAGTGGGACGACATGCGTATCGAGATGGATCAGGTAGAAAATCGACCCAATTTATGTAGCCAGGGATCGCAGGCGAAACCCTGAAAGTTTGCTCACAGAAGGGGAGAAACGATCGCTGAGACAAATAGTTGGTAGCTTTCAATACGCCGCTGTTCACACTAGGGCAGATCTTAGTGCTAAGGTAGGGGAGTTGCAATCCGCCATCAACAGTGCAAAGGTTTCTCATCTTTTTGGAAGCGAACAGGGTACTTCAAGAAGCAAAAATGCATCCGGTGTCGTTGATGATAGTCCCCATAGATGAGCAGCGTTTGACTTCCTGTGCGTTCCCTGATGCTAGTTTTGCTTCCTGTCAAAAGCTGTCTGCGCGTCAAGGCAAGATTATTTTTGCAACGACTCCAGAGTTGCTTGAGAACCAGAAGGCTGTAGTCTGTCCTATGGCACGGTCGTCTAAGAGGATACCGAGAGTAGTTCGTAGCACTCTAATCTAAGGGCAGAAGCCGTGGCGTTGAGCAACACCGTAGATCGCTTGGCTGAGACTTCTTTGGGCTTGGCTGAAAAACAGTCAAGTTGAGTGGCATCGTCCTGAGACAGTGCTGGCTCGAGAACCCACGTCTGCTACCGTGGCAGACTGCAAGTCGGTGTGCGGTGTACGATATTGTTACGAAGACGGCCCCTCCGCAGTGTGAGGAGCATCGGACAACAAGTGAGTGCTTACTTATTAGACAGCGAATGCTTGAAAACTGCAGATTGAGATGGGTTGCAGATGGTCTCACCAAATCTATGGACGCTAGCAGACTTCGAGAGTGCCTTCGGAGTGGACAGTACTCTTTGTTTGATAAGGGCTTGGTGCTAAGGCAGAGAGCTGATAGGAGGAATCAGCTCAGATGGTATCAAGAATCCACAGGCAATGGTGAGAAAACTGTTGCCGAACAGGATGCGCCTGCGTGTGTTTCAAGGTCAGCGATGTGCAGAAAAAGTCTGATTTCTGGCGACTTAACCGCGAACGGGGTTATCTAGAACGGGTCCATCGGACTCCTAGATGGGTTCGGTTTACTCCCATAGGCGTAGGTGAGAGGCCCGAGCACAGCGGTGAGCCCCTCCCCTCGTTAACTTGCCTGTGCCATGGATTCTACTGGCAGCACTTTCAAGCTGGCTTATGATGATACTTCCGGATATGGGCCCGCGCTTTGGTTACGCTAAGCGTTCTCCCAGGCCGCCGTTATGGGGGTCGGCCTATGTTACCTCCTTCCTGTGATTTTTTCGCAGACGCTCCTTGGAAGCTGGCTATGACACTGCCGTTTTCTATTCCACTGCCCAGTATGTCAACAGATTGCCCATATTTGGACCTAGCGTTGTTCAAGAAAGTCTCCTTCTGCGATTTCAGCCAGTATTCCTTCTTGTACGTGGGCTTTTGCACTGCTGAAGATATGCCTCCGGAAAGGCGGGCCGGGATGCTGCCACTTCTCTCGAGAAACA